AACAGGTCATTTTTAAGGATATTTGCATTGATTACCTGTTTTGAGGTTAAGTAACGGGTAACACCTAACTTTGCCTTTTTTAATTTTACAATTTTCCAGTATATCTGCTTTAAATAGCATCTGCTGAAGAACGGCTTTACTACAAAGACAGAGGACATGCGTTTTAAGGCCAAACAAACCCATCACTGAGTTACAATACATTGAGTTTCAGTGCTGTAACATTATTGAAGTCTAAGTAATGGGAGGTCCATCTGACAAAAAAGTATTATCTCTCTAATCTTTATGCTAGGGCAGAAAAGGTTTGGGTGCAAGTCATGTTATAGACTGTGCCATTACCTTGAAAATACAAATCTGTTACACATATTACTTATCACAAGGAGCTCAACTCTGGAGTAAATTTTTGTATAAAAGCTGATAGATGTGTACGAGTCCAGCATGAAGAGCAAGGAGGGAAGTGGGGAGGAGTTCTGCAAGCTGTAGTGTGTGTAACTCTGGGCTTAGCTGCCCTGTGTCATGTTCTGCATGTGTTTGGCAATATCGTACACATAGGTGATGTCCGGCCTCTTCTCCGGGTCAGGGTTGATGCACATATCTACCAAGTTCCTCAGCTGGTGAGAGAAAATAACAGTCAATGACACTGTAGTGAGACGGAACTGTGGATTTTAAAAGAGCAGCTTCAGAAATGAACAAGCCTCTGCTAACAGACACCTGCTCGTCGTTTAATGAGCTCTTTCCATAATAACAACAAGGCAACAAGTAATCGAGCTGAGACAAAGACACGAGGCTGGGTTAGGGCACTTATCGCTTATTGGTCTGCTGAATCCACTTTTACCTGAGCCCACACACACACACACACACGCACACACACGCACACCCACCCGCATGCACACACTGCTGCCACTCCATTGCCATCCGGAGACAGCACTTACACTTGAAGCCGAGCGAAGCGGCTGATTGGAGCAGATAGATAGACAGGCTCGCAGGCGGAACAGCCACCGCCATCATTAAAAAAAAAGGAGAATAAAAGATGGAGAGGAAAGAAAAAAATAACATCTACGCGAGGTCGCTATGGTAACCGTCTCCCGACTTCCTGGCCGCTGTTGCGTGGCACCGGCTTGGACGAGTTCTCGTCAGCCGCTGTGTTTATATGTGTGTGTGTGTGTGTGTGTGTGTGCCTGAGTGAGAGAGAAAGTGAGAGAAAGATGCAAATTCAGACAGTCTGAGAATTAGTCCCACAGAATGGAGATGGGGGGGAAGAGAAGAGATGCAGATATGTAAAATATTCATGCACTTCTTTGCATGGCGAGTGGGGTGGGGGAGTGGGGGGTGTCAGGTGGAGGGAGGGGGGTAGTAGGAGTTAGTGAAGGGAGGCGTGGGGGGAAGCATAGACGGAGATGGTTAAATGACACAACAAAGATGAGCAGCTGACAGTTTGCTGCCGATCCTTCAGGAGCATTGTTTACATCCAGACAGGCGCTGCAGGCACCCCCCTCATCTCCATCTCTCCATCGCCCTGTCTCTCGCTCTATCATTCCCTCTCTCTTTCGCTTTGTCTCCCTTTCTCCTGGATGGGGGTGACATGTGGGGCAACGCAGAAGCTCAGTGTGGTGTGTGTGTGGAGAGGGAGCTCTTGTAACAAAATATACAATTGCACAATTGCTCCTGCACATAAAAACACACACACATAAACACAACAGAGGCTTGAGCAATTAGCCTTTATCAACCTAATGAAGTAAATCACAGTATAATAAAAAGCCTCTCTCTCAGGGTTTACTACTTCACGAGAGGGACATGAATAAGGATGGCCACTTAAAATTAGCCACTGTGGACTTGCATATGCAGATACACTGATACACTGATAGTAGAGAGAAAGGAATAGAGATAAAGGACACAATAGGTTGATCACTTTTTTTCATTAAGGACTATACTGACCAGTACGTTTCTGGGGTTTCCGTAAGTATACAACATGTAGGCTTTACTTTTTCTTTTTTAAAACAGTGCAGAATGGTTTGCAAAAAGGTTAACGGTGATATAAAATATATGTAAAGTTGGAAAGAAAATGTGTATATTAATTGATTCATTGATAGAAAATTAGTTGTCAACAATTCTGGTAACTGTTTAATTGTTTAAAAGTAGAAAATGTCAAAGGCTCTCAGATGTGAGCTTATGTTGTAACATGGACTAATCTATAAAACAATTCTTTAATTGAATTTACAGTACAAGGGCTGACACATGGAAAAACACTGGTATGTTCTTTTAAATAGATCACACACACGAGCGGATGTCTTTTGCCTTTTAACTATCAAGCAATAAGACTTTCTGTTTGTAGGAAAACATTGTAGCAATTGTTAACTACCAAGTAAATGCAATAACTGACAAAGCCTCAGTGTGTCCATAACAAAGCAGTGTCATTGCTAAATGCATCTAATACCTGCAGTGTATGTGCGTGTGTGCCTATGAGTCAGTGTCTGAGTTCTTGCATGTGTGTACACTTGACTTAATATATTGATATATAAGAGAAAAAGACAGAAATCTTGGAAAAAAATGCCACCCACAAAAAGAGGGCATGCAAACACAAAGCCATGCGCATTCATACACACGTCTCTGGCAATCAGCAATAAGGCGATCTTTAACCACAGCCCGACTACATTACATTTCTGCGCACGGGGAAATCTATGCAGAATTACAGCAGATGATTTAACATTTAGTTAGGGAAACATGACACTCCAGCCTATTTAGTTTCACCCAACTTTGTAGCATGGCCAGATGCTTTTGATATGTGCATTTAATTTTCAAACGGTTAAAATCATAGCCGGCCTTTTGATCACAGAGCAAAATCATACAGTACTGTAGCTCATGCAGTTGGGTGGATTTCACTTACATATAAAAAAATTTACTCTAATAGTCAACACAAGTCAAAATCAGCAAACTGGCACAGAGAAAGAGAAACCGGTCACGACTGCTTAAAACAGTAGTTCACTTAAAAGATATTAAGGATTTCCTTTAAGTTTCTTTTCCAGGAGTTCAGGAGTTGAGACTATCGTGAGTCCTTTTAAAATACTGAGCAGGTCCATACCTACCTACCATAGCAGTAAAACGCAACGGATACAGCACTTACCTCCTCTGAGTAGTGATCTGAGGGAAGAGGGGGGTAGTCACACTGTTCTATCTTCTTACAAAGGGAGTAAAGGTTCATCTTATCCCCATAGAATGGACTCTGTAGGGCGGCCATCTAAAATGTAAGATATAAGGAAACAGGGAGAGGAAATGTAGAGAGAAATGTGGAGAAGACAAGAGGAAAGTGTGAGAGAGAACAAAGTAAAAACTTGAAACACTCAGTCAAAATTTCAACAGGTGCACAGAAGAGACTGTAATGTATGTTACTGAACCTGCACAGTTTACTGCTATCGAGGTCTATGACTTATTGATTAAAGTAGGGAGTGCTTGTGTGCGAAACACAAATAAAGTCAGACAACAAGTCGATATGTCTAAAGTTTTGTGTACATATCAAATCAGTACACATTTATTTATGTTCTTTGTAGTGGAATGAGCCATAGTCCAAAATTTAAGTGAACCAAAACTGAAAAATCCATGAAAGCTTCTCTTAGCTTGTATGTTTTCCTCTAGTTTGCTGGTACTTTCTGCTGCACTGCTTCCAAAACGTAGTGATGAGAACGAGAGGAAATACAGAGTTGAGAAAGGAAGAGGAGAATGTGAGGAGAGGGGTGCAGGCATACGAGAGGGGAGAAAAATAATTTCTCAGTTTGCCGGAGCAGCGAGGGAACTGTATCCTCTGGAAAACAAATTCAAGCAAGCAGAGCAGAGGAGAGGCAGATGGGAATGGCAAGGAAGAGTGGAAAGGATAAGGAGATTTTGCTGAGTGGAAACAGGTGAAGAATCCCTGCTGCCTTCTAAGAATAGAAAATATAGCATGCCATTTTTGCCAGGCTTAGTGACTGACTCACTTCCTATAAATGTGCAGGCGCAAGGTGATGCCTGCAGCAAACTTGCATAACAAGGACACTAAAATTCTTCTTTTTTTTCTGTTTCAGCGTTTTCAAAATAAATGTTCATGTTTTGGGTCAAACTGAATAAGTAATGATAAATAAACATGGTTGGAATAGTTGTCAGTGTCTGTGATGATGTTGGAGCTTGTTGACTTGGTTATAATTTATTTACATATGAAGAGGTGGCTTGCACGAAGTGCATACCTAACGTGATATCAAATGAGTTTTCTCTATGTAAAAAAAGACCTTGTCTTGTCAAAAGGCTGCACAGTCAAAGATGTATATGTATACTGTAGGTGAAATCCATATTCCAATTTCATGCCTTCCACCTGTTCTAGGCCAGAAGGCACTTCTGAGCAAGTTGAAATGTTGCTGTACATCTCAATGACTTCCACAGGAGAGGAAGTGTCTTCTGGACCAATGTGAAACTAGATCTATGGCCATTAATGGACAATCACTGCTCATAGGTTTCCATTTCAGGTTTTCTGCTGTTTTGTTTCAGTACTATGGGACATTTCTAACTTGAATGTGATCTTATAGAAATGTTGTACGTGGTAATTGATAGAAGACAAATGGTGATGAATTGGAACAAGAAGCATGTATTCCTATAAAAGGACAAGACAAAGAAAACAACATGTGTATCATAGTGCGCAGATGACATTCTGTTACACCTTTTTATTTTTACTTGGTATTTTTTCCAGGTGTACCGTCATTATTAACGGAGAATGTACAGTATGTGTTTGACAGTCTGTTAATTGGTAGAGTAAAAGAATCTACATATGGATCCAAATGGAATCGTTCCATACAGAATATGGCAGATTAGTGTGAATGTGCCACCTTCCACAATATCAGACACAAGAAAGACAATATATAGATGTGTAAATAGAACCATAAAGAAAATACAGGCAGAATAACAGAAGCTGTCTTTTAGTTACAATGGGGACAGGCTATCCTGTTTCATGGAGTTTATGAAATTTTTTTATGAAAAAGAACAACATTAGGTGATTCATTCCTTTGCAAATGGTTGGCTGCCTACACAAACATACTCAATGGTCACTTGAACCGTAAAGTCACGAGCATTTCTACAACAAAAGAAATTTGCCCAGTGAAATTGGCTTACTTTGTTGCATGAAACTACAAATGTAACTCTTTGAGATTGCCCAAAAAGTGCCAAACACATCACCAACGTGTAAGCGGCTTCCACATTTCAGTCTTCACTGAAAAGATTTGTCACAGAGTGATGATAGAGAGACAGAAAAGTTCTACTTCCCTATCGGGCAGATTTTGACGGAGTCTCTGTAACAGCTTCCACTGAGATGTCAAGATGACGGCAGCAGAAACTCAGTGGGCCGTCTCTCCTCTGGACATAATTTACCACCACGCATTAATCCACGCCCTTAATCAAACAATCGCATTAATACAGTATATCCTCACAAAAACACATGAAGTAAAGAAGAAGTCCCTCTCTCTGTCTCTCCTTGGACACGTTTCTCCCTACAATGACTACTGAGACTGGCACAGCAGGAGGTTGACAGTGATGAGATGTGTGAGGAAATGTGTATTCCTGTGTGTGTCAGCAATGATGCGCTATCTGTAACCTAAGATTTCAAATTTGATTCAGCAGCGATTAAGAGACGAAAACAGTCACACATACACATGGACAAATGCGCATACAGCAATGGTACATCCGTAAAAACGCAGATTTTAACAGAAATGGCATCTCCAGAGGGATAATGCCACAGTCTTACATAGCCAGAGTGTTACCAAAACATACTCATTAACCTAAAATTGACCCACTGTTGTGAAAAACCACCACTGTGTCAATAACAAGACTTTTTACACTGGTTCAGTTCCAAACATTAAAAAGCAAGTTAAGACACAAATACTGTACAATGTGTAATTTTAAAGGACATTAGTACAGATGCCTGAGAGGTGAGATCACATTCAAATTATCAGTCCATTATTTTTTTTTTAACTACCTGTAAAATTATCATTCATGATTGGCCTTCATAAGTTAAATACAACAATAGTTGCAACAATATTAACATAATTAGAATTTTAACTTATTTGATTGTCTAAACCTCCAGCCAGTAAATCACAAGCAAATTTGCTATTTGCAGCCTATAAATACATCATCAGTCCAGTGAGGTCAGAAAACTATGGATTTTATCATGAGAAATTTACCACAAAAGGTCAATGGGCATCTTGCACTTTTATGTCAGTAGCTAAATCACTTTCCAACAAACAAACTGAGAGCTCTGAAAATACACACAAAAAAAAACTAGAGGGCAGTGCCAGGCAGAATCAGCTGGCTTTTTTTCAAAAGGGTCTGGAGTTGGAATGGAGTATGTACAGAAATTGCTGACTATTTGCAGTAAAAGTTTACTTCAATGACTTGAAAAGGACTGTGTGGGAAAACACTCTTAATTGCTTTATAACAAATATATGTACACCTTTTAGTACTGGTAGAGTACAGGTAGTGTGAATGTCTGTGGGCTTTCCAAAACTATACATTTTTCAGTAAGCGAGACAGAAAAAAAGAGACGGAAACAGACAGAGAAAAAAAAGAAAATCAGCCAGCTATAGACACCAGGAGGCAAAGGGTTAAACAAGACCCCATCGTATTTTCATGCATCTTCTGCTTTTGACAGATGAAAAATGTCAACTGTCCTGTTTGTATTTGGGAGTTTTTGCACTATTCATCTGCTTCATTAGTGCCTGCTGCTCCTAGCCCCTGACAGCTGCCGGCCCCCTGCTCTGAGCACGCACGCACACACACACTCCTTTTTTTCAGACTGTGTCGTCGCAATGGGTTGATTGACTCACTCCCTGACCTCTGAGGCCCTGGTGTGTGAGTATGAGACTGTGGGTGTGGGTGTGTGTGTGTGTGTGTGTGTATGGTTCATTGATATTCGAAAGACATACAATGCACACGCATGCCTGCTGTCTGTCTAAGGGGTGTGAGCTGCTGGTGGCAGAACACACACACCCTCTAAAAACACACAGTCTCTCTCTCTCACA